TGTGCTTCTGTCATTGCCACAAAATCGACATATTCTGGGTGGCACTTGTTCTAAGAGGAGAATGAAAATCACACGGGTCAGTCAAACTCAACCTAGATTAATGATCAGAATAGTCATCCATTCAAACCTATTGTGATTCCTAGCTTACCTGAACACATATGAGGGACAATAAGTAAATGTTGCAATTAGCATAGAGTTTTAGGGTTTGCTATGCCACAAGTTAACCAACACATATTATAATAAAAAATCAAGTTTTTTCATCTGAAAAAAAAAATAGCCTGCTTTCAAATCCAGACTCTGCCACTCACTAGCTGTGTGATGCTGGACATACAATCACCCCATGCCTCATTTTTCTTATCTGTAAAGCGGAATATCAGATATCTTTTTGGAGGCTATTTAGGATGCTAAAATGAGTTTATATTTGTCAAGAACTCAGCATAGTGTCCCTAGCACAGAATAAGCACTTTTATGAGACATGTGTTATCATTTAAAGACTTTAAATGGATTAAATTGAGGCAAACTCTGACACTATACAAACTTCATAGATTGATAAACTGAAGTCAAAGAAATTCAGAAGTTCAGCTTCAAATTGAAAGGGTCAGAATTCAAACTCAGGGTTGAAGATAGTTGGATCAGGGTTGAAGATAAAGCCTTCCCTTTAGAGTATCCATACTATTTAAAGTATCTAGTTGTCTATTAATATACAGTGAAGTTAAAATAAAGTATAGTAATATTTAGGGGAAAAATCAATGCTAAAATCAGAACTAATCTTATCTTGAAAAAATAAAATAACAAAACTCTCAAATGAAAGAATGGAAAGAACATCAATTCAAACCTTAAGAAAAAACAGGAGAAAAATATAATAAGCAGAAATATATTAGAAAAGAAACAAACAAATTTTTCACTCAATTTGACCAATCTTAAGAAAGATAGATAAAATAGACAATTTATGAAAGAAAATAGACAACATACAAATTTAAAGAACAGACTAATTATTAAGAGTTTTTGAATGTTAAGATAACATATCCACAGTGGTGGGTCTCTTTGTGACCACCCAAGATAAACTGATTCTTTGGGAAAATGAAAACCAAGGCTCTATCATCCAGGCTAATTGACTGCATTGGCACAGTGGACTGCAGAGCAGAATCCATTCACAAGATTTCGTGATTGGATGCTGACCTGGTGAAGTATAAGGATCAGATCAAGAAGGTGAAAGAAGATCCTGAAGAAAATATGGTCAACCAGAAAATCTTGCTGGTTTTAAAGCAAAAGTGGGTGTATGAGCAGCAACGGGACAATCTTGCCCAACATGGAACAAGCCAATGACACCATCCAGGCATTGAAGAACACCAAGACCATGGTTGATGCTATGAGCTATGAAACTAGGAGTAAAGGAAATGAAGAAGGCATACAAGCAAGTGAAAGTTGACCAGATGGAGGAGTTCCAAGACCAGCTGGAGGATATGATGGAAGATGTAATGAAATTCAAGAAGCACTGACATGCAATTATGACACCCCAGGATTAGAAGATGACCTAGAAGTAGAGCTGGATGCTCTGGGTTATGAGCTTCTGCCTGATGAAGATAGTTCTTACTTGGATGAAGCTGCCTTAGCACCTGTAATTTCAGAAGGTGTTCCCACTGACACATAAAACAAGAATGGACTCCTGGTGGACTGTGGGATTGCCACAGATCCCTGCTTCATAGATTGGCATCATTCAAGTACATCGTGAAAACTAAATACATATTCTGAAATATTTACCTTTCCAAATTTACCATGAAAGATTTAGGTTTCTCTCATTTCCTTGGGAGAAAAGTTAATTATGCATTAAAATTTTCTTTCTGTTAAGAGATTCATCGCTTGAGGGATGTTTTCTTTGTACTAAATTTGATTCCTTTTCTCATATGAAAGACTAACTTACTTTAAAGTATCTTTGGTTTTGTATGAATTGTTTTTATTCATTAATAATAATTTGAAATAGAAACAAGGAAGTGGAATCTTTAAATCCTATGATTGTGTAACTATCATTTCTATATAACCCAATACATTGATAAGACAAAGATGTGACTATTGGGACTGTTTGTATTATGGTTCAAAACAATTTTCTGTTGTGGTATTATAGCTTGGTTAAAGTGGTAGTCTTTTTTGATGTTTTTTGTTGCCTTGTGAGCAGATTATTACTGTGTTCAGGGTTGAAATGGAATTATCACTATTGTATCATGAGAGGATATTTTGATTTTATGGTTCTCTTTGTATCACAGCCTGACTTGTAATTGATAATGATATTTCTTGATATTTAATGTATAGGACATTCATTTATACTCAAAAAATGTTTTTTAAAAGGAAAAAAGATAACATATCCACAGTAGTAAAATAGTAAGATAAAAGTAGAAGAAAATGATGATTTTCTTAATGTTGATACAAAAGAAATGGAAGAAATTGATGTCTTTGACTTTATGAATAATTAGAATTATCTATTCTTAACATTAGTCTGATGATAATTTTTACTCAAAACCTAGAAAACACAATTGAACCAAAATCAGAAGATAAAATTTGAAGTTATAAAACAGCTTTCTGCAAATAGGCTATTACAATAAATGTATTTGTTGGTTTTATAGGCAATGCATAATAATGGTATGGAGAAATTTCAAGGCATTGAACTGATTAAAAGCTACTAATTTATTGTAAATTTTGCTTTTTAAAAAAAAACTCAGGAAGATCCTCCCCTCTATTGGAGTATAGATTATAGATTCTGGAGAAATAGTCAAAAAAATTATTGGAAAGAAGGGGAAATACCTATCTGGCTAACCCAATTAGTCAAATTAATTTTGGAAGTTTTATTTTATTTACTTATTTATTTTTACTAGAGGGTTCAATTGTACTTTGGACAATTGGACAGCTATCTATGAATAAACGCAGTCTTTGGAGTCCTTTTGGAAACTACAGGCTACTCAGCAGACCATATGATGGGAGATCTGGGTTTGACTTCCTGCTTACCCTAAACATCTTCCATTGAAACTCACACAAAATTGTCCCTATTCGATGAGAGGAATGAGCAGGAATATTGTCATGGTGAAGAAAGACTGGTGAAGCTTTCCTGAGTATTTTTTCTGCTAAAGCTTAGACTAACTTCTCAGAAACACTCTGATAATAAGCAATGTTCTTTGGTCCTCCAGAAAATCAACATGCAAAATTCTGTGAGTATTCCAAAAAATTAGCACCCTGACCTTTGCTCTTTGCACTTTTGCTTTGACTGGACCACCTTGACTTCTTGGTAGCCGTTGTTTTGATTATGCTTTGTCTTCAGGATCACACTGGTAAAGTCGTTTGTCATCTCCAGTTACAATTCTTTGAAGAAATGTTTTAAGGTGTTGACCCACTTATTTAAATTTTCCATTGAAAGCTCTGCTCTCATCTGCAGCTGTCCAGAGCCCATTAATTTTGGTACCCATTGAGCTGAAAGTTTGCTCAATTTATATTTTTCAATCGGAATTCTGTAAATGGAACAAATTGAGGTATCTGTAGTATTGGCTATTGTTTCTTCTGCTATTAGACATCTTCAGTTAGGTAATGAGCAAGATTAAAGTTTTTTTTTATCAAATTGATGAGAATGATCTGCAACTGTGAGCCTCATTTTTAACGTCATCTTGTCTCTTCTTAAAATGAGTTATTCATTTGTAAACTGCTGGTTTCTTTGGGGCATTGCCCCCACAAACTTTTCGGAGGTATCAGTGATTTCACTATCCTTTCATCCAAACTTTACTATAAATTTGATATTTTTCTTCCTCTAATTTTAGCAGAATTCATGTTGCTCTGATAGGAGCTTTTTTTAAATTGATATCTTATCCTTAGTACCTTAAAATATATCCTATTCAGACATGTAACAAGTTAGTATAAATTTATTTTGTGCCATGAACTTTGAAATCCACACATATTTTTGCATAATATGAATTTTCTGTGAAGAGCCCTTGTATATTTTATACCCAAACTATCTTTAGTACTTCCCAGATAGCATCTAGGTGGTTCTATCAAGCAAGGGTATGTAGTGTGTTTTTCATATCTTCAATTAGTGCTACTCTCATTTATTTATTTATTATTACTGTTTATTTATTTTTAGAAATTTGCCGTGGGGCTCATATGAGAGAGAGAGAGAGAGAGAGAGAGAGAGAGAGAGAATAGAAAGCAAGCTTCGATATATGGGACTCAAACAGCAGTTGGCCATGTAAAAGTTCAGTGTGAGTTTCAAGCCTCTGGGTCCGAGATTTGAACTGTGGTTGGCATGTGAGAATCCAGTATCTTAACCACTATACCACCTGCTAGACCCCTAGTTTAATTCTCTTATGAAAGCTGCTATTTATCAAGTCCATAATATGAGAAGAGCTATTAAATTAAAAAGATGCCCAATATCTGTCAATTATATAACTAATAAAGAACAGGGGTCAGTATTTATAATAATACTTTTCAGGATGGTTAGAAACACATTTGTGATCCTATACAAAGAATGGTTTAACAACTGTGAGCAAAATGATTTCTAAGAGTATGTTTCTAAGTATAAAATGTTCTTGTTACTTTATGGCAATTTAAAAACACCCTTCATGAAATTTTGTGGAGATACAGTAATGCCTTTTACTGTCTATAAGGCTCATGCTCTTGGAATAATAACACTCATCAGTTCTATGTTACAATCCAATGAGGAATTTCATTCTGACACTGATAATTACTATAATAAAGTACTGTAAAAAATTAACTACCAATCTTATTAACAGGTGATTTCTACTTTTCCTTCAAGATAACCTAAAGACTCTGGCTATAGGATTAAAGGCAAGGTGTTTCTATGCATTCACTCAAATGTTGGTTTTTAGGCATATTGTCTGCTTCAAAAGAAGCCTCCTTTGTCCAAAATCAGTACCAAATTTGTTGTATTCCATTCATATGCATATTATTGTGGTTAAGGTGACTCCAACAGGCCAAATCTGTCAGAAACCTAAGAATATGTGACCTTAGAGGTTTATTCTTCTCTTTTGTAACCTCCTCATGGCATCTTTGATTTCCTTGTTCCTCAGACTGTAAATCAAGGGATTCAACATGGGAATGATCACAGTGTAAAAAACTGATGCAAATCGGTCAAAGCTGGAGGAACTACCAGAGCTGGAACTCAAATAGACAAACATACCTGATGCATAAAAGAGGGAAACACCTGTCAGATGAGAAGCACAGGTGTTGAAAGCCTTAGACCGGCCTTTAGCTGATGTGATCTTCATGATGGAGATGACAATATAACCGTAGGATATCATGATAACTAGGGCACTTGCTACTCCAAGTATCATTGCTAATATAGCAAGCATAACTTGTACAAAGAAAGTGTCACTGCAGGACAGGATTAAGAGTTGGGGCATGTCACAGAAGAAGTGCCTGATGACATTAGGTCCACAGAAGTGGAGCTGAAGTAAAGCACACATTTGAGATAAAGCAGCGGTGAGTCCAGCCATGTAGGATCCCAGCACCATCTGAGCACACAGGGTGGGTGACATGATTGATGAATAGAGCAGTGGGTTACAAATGGCAGCATAGCGGTCATATGCCATGGCCGTCATGAGGCAACACTCACTCAGTCCCATGGTTGAGAAGATAAAATACTGGACAACGCAACCCACAAAGGTGATAGTTTGCTGCTCCTGGAAGAAGTTGGAGAGCATTTTGGGGACTGTGGAGGTAACATAGCAGGCATCTATGAAGGACAGATTACTGAGGAAGAAATACATGGGTATGTGGAGGTGGGAATCCATCCGTATTAAAACAATGAGGCCCAGGTTCCAGGTCAGAGCTGTAATGTAGATTCCCAGAAATAGAACGAAGAGCACTACTATGACTCTGGGAAAATCTGAGAATCCCAGGAGGATGAAATAGGTGATCTCTGTAATGTTTGTTGAGCCAGTCATTGACTTATTGCTCCTAATATCAGAAAGAATACAAAATAATTCACTGCTATCTCATGAATTACCCATATTACTATTATCCCCAGTGTCACTCTTTTCCTCTAGTGAGCAGTGGAAAAGGAAAAAACAAAACAAAACAAAACAAAACTTCACTGTCTTAGTGGAAAGACCTTAGATTTTCTTCTTGGACTGTCAACAAATACCTTCTCAGTGCTTCAGGTTCTCTGTTAATTTATGGAGTCTCATGAGGATTTTAAAATGCTGACTGGTTCCTTTTTTAAAAAGTGCCATAGAAATACTAAGATCATTACATGAAAGATAGAGGGAATTGACTAAAATAAAAGCTCTTAGAAGGCCTCTGTTCATTATACGATGGTCTCCAAAAAGTTTATGGACAAATAAAATTAAAATACTAATTTATTTTCTTGACCTTCCCCAAATTGATACATATAGTTTTTATAATATGCTTTTTCCATTAACTTTTTGAAGAACCTTTTCTATAACTGCTGTTGTAATCATAAAAGCATTAAGAGCATCTTTCCAATAAAATTTGAAATAGTCCTTGTATCTGAATTACTACCTAAATAGACCTTTAAAATATGCTGTATCATTTTGAAGAAAAATATGTACACTGTTTAAAATATTTTTTCCCACTAAAGAATTTAATATAACATTTCCAGAAATGTCTGGAAAATAATACCATAATTTATATTTTTGATAATATTTTAGGAGGTCAGAGGCATGTATGTCCAATGAAGTTATGGAATGTGAGGATATATATTATAGTTTCTTCATACATTCACCTATGGATGGACACCTTGTTTCCATATATTGGTTGTTTATTATAAATAATTCTACAATGAATAAGGGAGTGAAGATATATTTTTCCTTTTTTAAAAAAAAAATGCCAGAGGATGCACGTGCAGAGCAGACAGAGTCAGGGAAAGTGAGAAAGCACACCCTCTTGCAGAATGGTTACGCTGCAATCCCTTCTCCTCCAGCTCTCTATCATGTTAGGATTTTGGCCACATACTCATAGACCTAGTGTATTTCTATAGCCTCCAGGTCTGGGACTGGATCTGTGTTGGCCATGTGGGATCCAGCTGCCTTAACCACCATATCATAGCTGGCCTAAGTGTAGATATCTTTAGGAAGTGGTGATTTCATTTCCGTTGAGTATATACCCAAAAGAGGGATTTTGGGGTCTTCTGGTAGTAGTGGGAAGAAAAAGAATACCTATTTGACTTGCTGACTCTCTCAAGTTTAGAGAATCATTAATCTCTCTGTGCTTCCGTTGCCTCATTTATCAATGCAACTAGTAATAGTTATCATTTTATGGTTGTTGCAGGGATGAATGACACAAAAGCCTTACCACAGTAAAAGTTCAAAATAACTTAGTGATTATTCTTGTCATCACTTTTCTCTTTGAAAGGGAATACAAGAAGAATTAATATTGAAGCATCAAGGCACTCTCAAAATTATTTCCTAAATTCAATGGTCCTTAATCATAGACTTGAGAATATTATAAAGAAGTGCCTGTATTTATTTCTATCTTGTAGTATATTATGCTCACACAGCCAGCTGAATTGTAAAGTACTGTGGCCACTTTTGGTGTTTCACCACTGCCAAGTAACTTCAAACTTGAACACTTAGTATATATAGTATATAAAATCGTGGAGATATTTACGATTCAGAACTAAGCCTGGGGACCAGTAGGTGGTATGGAGGTAAAAGTTGTTCTATCTCACATGGAGAACTGCACAGTTTACATCTTGGGTCAAGTGGTTTGAGAAACACACCAGGCATGCCTGTGCCCAAAATCCCAAGAGAAGAATGGAGAAGGGATCGTAGTGTAGTCATCTTCCCCGGGGTGTGATTTCTCACTTTCTCTCTCTCTCCTCTATTTGTCTCTGTCTCTTTCCATTGACTGTATACACCCTATAACAGACTATAAAAAATAATAAATACATGTTGTCTATGTTAGTGAGTGGCTCTTTTACCCAGATTTGGGTGTGGAACTAGGAATGTCTTTTTTATGTTTCATTTTATTTCATTTGCTTTACGAACTTGAAATCATTCTGTTTACTCTTAGAAGAGAGTGCTATTATAATTTCAAATATTTTTTATTCAACGTGAGTTATATTGAATGAAAATATTTTAAGACATTAACTTTAACATTTAAAATTCTCAAAGCACAAATGTAATTAGTAAATTTAATGAAAATAAGCTATTAATCCATAGGTTGCACTAAATTGCTTCACTTTTTATTATATTGTGTTTACAGACACCATCATAATTCTGTAATCCTATGTCTTCTACCATTTCCTAAAGAGAAAGATGTTGTTATTTGTATTTCTTGTTCATGGCAAAATTTATTCTCATAATTTGTTTTGTTAAAATTTGGCAAACTAGAGGAAAAGGAAAAAAAAATCTAAATATACTTACTCTTATTTATTCTTTGCATATGTTCACCACCTCCCAGGAAAATTTGGAGATACCTAATAGATGTAAATATTTCTGAAGATTTTAGTAGGTGGATACAGCAAATCAGAACACTTTCCAATGCTAACCTGTAAGGACAAGTTTAGTTTGAGAAATATGTGGTCTAAAGTCAGGTAAAATCTGATATGTTGTTAAATAAAGAACAATAGAAGTAAAAGAAGAATAAGTTGGACATTGAGACCAACACTACCTGTGCTTAGAGGGGTGTCTGTTGTGTTTGTGTTGCTCAGGCTGCTGTCTCCAGGTCCTCGGGGTCTCCAAAGATGACAAGGGAGAGCTATTTGAAGTATTTCAAATAGTCTAGTGGAATTGTACCTGAGTACTCTCTCATATCATTAAGACTCAGATTGTCTCATGGTACACAGAAGTCATGAATCAAAGTTGCATATTTAAACAGAATCAAATTAATTATTGCTATTTCAAAAGCAGAATCCTGAAGGTCAAAAATTGATCAGAAAACGACTCGGGGGTGGAGGAAATTGGGGAAAATAGGGAAGTATACAATCTTAGGAGACTTTTTGGAAGCTCGATACATAATTGTTTTTATTTAGCTCTCTGTTAAGAGAACTTTTACACTCTGTCGAGCTTCATGGACATTGTTGCATTGGTCTCTAGATGATTCTATTATCTTATTTTCCAGGTGAAACAATAGAAGAAACCAGAGTTTAAAGTCGCATTCTTAAGAATTCAACACCCATCCCTCACTCAGAGTAGAACATGGAATTTTATGTTTGAGGTTATGCTTTTCATAGAAGAGCAAAGATTCGGGGAAGGAGGAAGAGAATCTGACGGTCACTAACTTGAGGTAGAGAAGCAACAGAGGGGGAGAGATGAAAAATGTGAGAGTGAAGCCTGCAAACCTTATTACCTGTGGGTCCTCCTGGAAGAATTACAGGGATATTGAAACAGCACAAAATTCCATATCTCTAATTTTTTTTCCCTCTGACCTTGTCTCATATCTCCCAAGATGATAGAGATTTTGCCAAAGTTTAAAATTGACTATTTTTTTAAAAAGGAATTTTGTACATAGGTTCTGTTACCCTCTAAGATGGGCACTTTGGCCATAAAATTGTCCACTCATAGCAAGAGGTGGCCAGAACTGGGGAGGGGAGAACCTCTTAAATGTTCTGTAGGGAGCAATGTTAAAAGGAGAAAGGCCAATTAGGGGAGAAAATACTCCAAGTACTTGCTCTCTGGTGTCATGGTTGTCATGGAATTTTTGTCCCTGATGAGTTCATGCCCAACTTTGCCAAGTGGACTAATTCCCTATTAACCTAGGTCCTTTCATGATCTCAGAATTGCAACTTTTCTCTACTCACCTTGCAGTTATTTGAGATGAACAGGGTGTCTAAATTTAGATATTGTAGTCTGAAACTTTTAGTTTCTAGTTGAAGAACCTGAGCCTAGACATGATAAAGTCTTTGCCCAATATGGCACCAATATATATATATATATTATATATATATATAACATGATAAAAATAAATTAACATGTTTCTTGGTCACAATTGCTTCATTCATTATAGTAATCGTATAAGGCAAATACGGCTTTTTTTTTTTTTTTGGTAAGACATTTTGCTATACAGCACTTACACTTCCCAGAGCAAAAGGGACAGAGATACAGAAAGCGAGAAGTCACCCCACCCCAAGGAGAGATGGAGATACTGCTATCCCTTGTCCTCCATTCCCTTCCTGAGATTTGGGTACGAACATACATATGCCCAGCATGAGTTTCAGGCCAGCAGGTCCAAGATTTGAGCTGCTTTTGGTCATGTGAAAATCCAGTGATGTAAACGCTGTGCTATTTGCTGGCCCCCACAAATATGACTTTATTTCCTAAGTATTAGTGAGGAAGTAGAAGCACTAAGAACTACAATAAACTAATTCATGACAAAGCCATGACGTCGTCGTTACAGCTATGAAATTAGATATAGTCACTTTGGGTTGGATTCTGGTTCTGCTAGTTGGTAGTTGAATGACTTTAGCAAATGAATGCCACCACACTTCAACATTTTTACCTACACAGTGGGACTTAAAATAGTAACTAATACATACAGTTGCTCTTCATAGAATAATATGGAGAAAGATTATGACGCACTTGTAGGCTGTAGTAACATCATGCTTTCTACTTATTAATAGTATATAGCTTGTGTGGTCTTATTTGGAGATCTTTCCAACATATTGCTGCATTGCTAATCCTTAATTAAAACCCTTCATTGAAAATATCTACTTATGTTTGTTCTCACAATTTTTTTTTGAGATATTGAAGGAGAGGAAGCTGATCCATCTTGCCAGTTACTAGGAATAAAGACATATTTTGGACAAGGTCCAGTTTTTAGTTTGATCTGCCTTAGTCAGTATTAGTTCCAAGAAGGAATGAGTAGAGGCAATGAGTTTATGATTTAACTCGTTTCAATTTTTTCCAGATACAGATTTTAATTGACATAATAATTGTACATATCTGTGGGGTACAATATTATTTTCAGTAGAAAAATACAATGT